CCTCTGCTGTGCATTAAGGTGCTAACCCCTAAAACCCTGAAGCCTAAACCCTAAACCCTAAATTCCCACCCGCCCTTGGTATAGCCCCTGAGGCCCCTTCAAGGCCCTTAGACCCATGGATCCCTGAGGCCCCTAAGGGAGGCCCTTACTCGCGGCGGACCTGACATGATGTTCACTTGAGATCAAAAGCAGGAAGACGATCTTTTGGAGGTGGGATTGAGAGCGTAGCCCTAAACCCTAACAGGAAGTAATTTGGGTGGTAGCCTGTGATGACTCACAACGGGTAGGGGTTTTGAAGAAAGGCTTCTTGGGCAACATCCATGACGTTCGCTGGGCGCAGGATGTGCCGCCGCCCACAGATCCCTGGAAGTGGGGTGGCGCCATCGGCGCATGGATTCTCAGCCCTGCGCAGGTAGAAGCCCCAAACCCTAAACCCTGAATCCTGGACCCTAAACCCTCAACCCTGAACCCTTAACCCTAAACCCTGAACCCTAGACTGTAAAACCCTGAACCCTAAACCCTAAGACCCTAAACCCTGAACCCTAAGCCCCAAACTGAGGCAATACTCCGTGGGCTCCACGCCGGGCAAGTTCCTTTGGCCTTATTGGAAACCCAGATCCAAAAAAAGGAACCTCCCAGGTTTAGGGCTTAGGGGTTTAGGGAGTAGGGTAAGTAAAATCCCCTGGATTCCCCAGTGTAGTAAGAGGTCAGTCATTTTAGTGGGGTTCCATTTTGGGGGCGATCCCTCAGAGAGTCTGGAAAGCCTCCCCTTCTGATGCTTCCTTATGAGGTCTGAGCCTACCTCTCCTCTGAAACGACAAAAGCGTGACATCAACCACGTGTTTTGACCCGGCTGGGATTGAAGTATAGGGCTTGGGGTAAAACCCTAAACCCTAAACCCTCAACCCTCAACCCTAGACTGACCCTAAAACCTATAAGTTTAGGATTTCCTGTTGGGTGCGAAGCTCATGGGTTGCCACTACTACTCTCCTATACTAACCCCCCCATCGTTCAGGCTTAGGCTCAATTGACCAATCATCCCTCACTAGCCAAAATTAAGGTGCAACCCTTGGGTGCAAGTCCAAAGCCCTAAATCCTAAGCTCTAAATCTTAAATCCTAAATCCTAAAACTCTAAACCCTGAAACCCTGAACCCCAAACCCCTAAACACTAAATCCCGAACCCTAAACCCCTAAACCCCCATGAGAAGAGATTAGGTTGCCTCTCACGGTGGGCATCACAGGTGCCCGGGCAGGCGATCTGCTGCGCCTTGGCGGCAGCATGAAACAGGTACCAGGCTTCACAAGAAGTGTAGGCACTGCTTAGGGTTTAGGGATTTAGGGATTTAGGATTTCGGGTTTAGGGCTTCAGGCTTAGGATGTAGGGTTGAAGTTAAGGTGCTCCTTTACACTCCCAATGAACATAGTAGTTTTAAACAGCCTCAGACATATTTCAGAACCTATTAAACTTCTCCGTAGCTGGAGTTTTGGGGCTCTCATAGGCTGTGTTCACCTGCACCGGAAAATGGCGTTCAGGCTTGCTGTTGGAATGGAAGCCTCCAGAAGGCAGACTAACAAGCTTCGACCTTCCAGGGGGCTTTCACCACGAGCTTTGGGGCATGTGGGGGTTCTAGGACAATTATCGGTTCCTATCAGTGGCTATTTATGGCTTTAAAGAAAATTTCAAATCTGCTGCCGGAATTCCACACCTCAACCCAAAATTGGCAGCTGCAAAGGCGCGGCGTGGAAGATGCCAGCAGCGGAGACGTAGCAAATGTGGTGCTTCTGAGACCAAATCGAGGGAACTTCAGTTTTTTTTGCTTCGGGCAACAGCCTGCTTGAGGGCATCTCTTTGGACTGAGGAGAGTGGCAAACTAAGGTCTAAAGTTGTTTGAAGGTCACGCCGTCACGCCAGAGTTTCTAGGATTCCTCTCGGTCTGTAGTGAACCTCTAAGGGAACCTGTTTGCTATAATGTCATGATGGCCAGTTCTGGGAATAGAAATGTTGATCAACAACCACGTCTCTCGCTATTGTCCCGTTGTAGGCGAGGAGAGACAGCAGAGATGGAAGTTGCCATACATAAAGCCAATACAATGAACGGACAAAGTTTTGCAATCGCACTTTTTGGGAAAAGTACACAGATGTCTCCGGTCTTAAGGAATTCAGAGGAGGGGCGGGCTGATGTCAAAGAGACGATTGCTGCTCTTGGATTCTTAAGCCGCAAAGTCAATTGAAAAGGACCCATATGAGCCATAGTCTACACTCCTTGAAGGGGGATCCTGTAGGGGTTATGAAGGGGGGTACTAGGAGTTTAGACCGGAGCTCATATCATGCCAGTGCAAGAGTCCCTATCAAGAGCATCCCCACCATGAGAAATTCCCATGGCAACCCATGCCAACACCAAACCCAAAACGGCCCTAAACCTCTATGTACCACAAACTCCCCTGTTACTACCTACAGGCATTGAACCCTTGCCACAGAAACTGTCGCAACGCTACTCCTGCAATTTATAGGCCATATAAAGGCACTGCAAGCCCTAAACCCACAGATGAGCAGCCAACAGTCGCTTGCAATGTCTCAGGTGCTGAGGCTTGTTACTGGCGTGGTGGCAGCCCCGAGCATTATCCGGAGGACTCTTGGGGGTGTACTTGGAGGGTCATGGGGACTTAGCAAGTAGGTTAATAACCCCTATAACCCACATACTAACCCCAATCATCTCTCTTATTGACCTATTTACTGCGTCCCCATGACCCTTCAAGTAGGGGTTTTGGGTCAAGGTGGGTCATTGTTTGTGTCAAGGGGTTTTTGTTTTTGTAGAGTGTGAGTCGTGCAGATTGCTCTGGAGGTTCGGGGAGCCTTTTTTTTTTTAATTAAATACGTCCTAGAAGGACGTCTATGTAGGAGGGCATGGGGCTATGAAGGGTCTTACTGAGCTTAAATGCCTCATACAGTATACAGTGTTAAAGCCTTGGGGACATGGAACCCTAAGTCACCAACTGGGATGCTCTTCGCTCAAACATCTACAGTAGTCCCGGGAGTTTATCTTTGGGACTGAGGCTGCCATGACCTCATGTGTTGGGCTTCGCTCCGATACGGATGGAATGATTTCCCTGGGTCGATGGTTCCAGGTCCATGATTCGGGGCTTGGGTGACCCAAACCATAGGGTTCTAGGGCCCAAATACTTTAATATTAATTTAATATTAATGATATTTGGGCCCTAAAGCCCTACTATTCGGGTCCTTGGATTCTGAGGGCTACATAGGGCTCGGAATAGCCCACTGTCGGTCACATTGATAGACATTAGGTTTTATTAGGGGTGTGCAACGCTTGCAAGGCCCACAGGAAGCCCCCGCAATGGAAGTTCGCCATATGACTGAGGATACACGAAGCAGTAAGACAAACAAAAGCTAACGGGAATTGGGCACATTCATGCCGCCAGTGGTGACTGCTATCCATTGAAGCTCATTTTCCCCCATCTGCTAGTGTTGAGTTTTGCTTGCCCTGTTCGCGGCCTGAGCCTTGTCTCAACCTTAGAGTGCCAAGTATGCACAGACTAGTTTGCACGACCTCTGCAGTCTGCAAGCTGAAGTGAAGTGTTCTCTTCGCATCAAAGGCAGGAGTTGGAGACCATAGTTGCTCTGGCGTGAAGCCTTCAAGGACGATTTAGAGATCTCAGGCTCAATGAACGTTTGCATGCAAGTTAGACCCATCAAAACCATCTTTCCTCTGAACATGCCTTCTGAATCCCAAGCCCGTAGAACGTATCCGGTCGTACCTGTGACCCATAGGAGCGTGGAGGCCGAGGTGGGTCGAGAGGCGCCTGGTGAGCTAGGGGTTGGGGTGCGGTCTTGGGACTATATAGGGTTTAGGGTTTAGGGTTTAGGGTTAGGGAGGGGTTGGGGTTACAAAGGGATAATGGAAAATAAAATGGAAGCTACTATAGTATATTGGGGTTATATAGGGTATTAAGGTTTGGGCTGGAAGGTTGCTGGGTGAAGTTCTTCTGAGGGCTCGTTAAGAGCCAGATGCCTTGTTTTCTTTAATATGCGCTTCTGTCTTTGCAAAGCCGCTATCTTGTGCAGCAAGTGTGTTAGCCGTCAGATTTTGCAAGAAATGTCTTTCAGGCCCCAACCACACCAATGTGCAATTCTGTAGCCGGCACCCAGGAACATTTTCGGAGCTCTGAGGTTCTTAAGGTAGCTTTCTCGATGGACGCAGGCTCCTTCGGCCCAACTGTCTCTATCTTGACGCAGGGTATCAGACTGTTGTTTGAACAATGCGCCAGAAACAAGGAAGAACAGAAATTGCAAGGGCCACATGCATTGCTTATGTGGGCAGTCTACAGACGACCTTTTTCAGTTCCTGATCAGGCATTTCCACAAGTGGAGTAAACATAGGCCCTAACAAATTATAGTCATTCCTGTACGAGGCCGCAAAAAACGCTAACTGCCGGACACCCTTACATGGACAGCACCTTCCAAGCAATCCCAATACCAACTTCAGCTTTTGAGCCAACAACTGTAGAATGCTTCTCTGGTTTCTGGAATCTTTGGTCGAGTTAGACCCAAGTCGTGGCTTCCATGCAAAGTGACTCCAACATTGGGGGCCTTGGAACGATATTATAAACTAGCCAGGTCTCAGTCTCAAAGTAGCCCTGAACATTCTTGCACGTGTAAGCTACGCGTCCGAGTTGGTGCGGTGCCCTGTTGAAGTCCTACGCCATGCGTCTCGCACTTCCCACCAATGTTCACGAAGCACATGTGCTATCCCGAGTTACTTGGGACGGAGTTGTAACCTGATGCCTACTCTCTGCTCTGGCAGGTACCAAAGGTATCCTCTTGTCTTCACCCTATGTTAAGACCCTCCCAGCACTCTTAATCGGGGTTGCAGGACCCCTAACAGTGGGTACACAGGCCTGCATAGAGATAGTTGGAGATTACAGGTGCATACCCTCTATACATACGCCTAAGATTTTGGGTTTGAAGCACCTTCACGTCAAGATGGGCAGTCAGGCCCTCATTGCCGCAGTTGCCAAGCATTTCGGCGAGTCGCGGGCGGCTGCTGCGCTTCGGTACAATGACTTCCCCATGGTAGAGGCAGGGCAACAAAGACCCCAATCAAGGGCCCCGGTACCCTGTGCGGTTTGTATGTGTCGAAGCGTGTTCGCATGCGGTATCTCTGCTCGGACGCTAGAGAACATGATGTTCGCGATGATGGAATTTTCGGGTTCGCAGCTTCGCTGGGATGAGAAGGTCAGATTACATCGCCTAAGAGTTCATACAACACTGAACTTGTCTCCTGCGTATCTCGATAGCTGAGATAGAATAGATGTAAGTAAGGCCATTGGGTAACAACGGCACAATAAACCTCGCCAACATGGGCACATCGAAGCCCCAAAAGTCTGGGACTGCATGGAACGGCAGCCGTAAACCGTAAGTCCTGCAGCCAAGAAGTTCGGGCCTGGGGTAGAACTTGAATGAATCCTTTGCAGAAGCCTCGCAGGTGCCAAATCACCAGCCACTGGGATCTGGATGTTCGCACGGTGTGGAGGACGCGTGGGCTCAGGCATGCAGTCTTTGATTCAAGCATTCATGAAGGGAATGGCACCCTCAACGCCCCCTGTTGAACATTTTCGTTTGCCTGCACTCCATATGGCTACAGATCAGAATGAGGGGGCGGGGTCCCAATGTATCCCAGAGTAAGACATGAAGAAACCCTTAACAGAAACATCTCCCCATTCTGGCCAATTGGGTCCTCCTAGTAAGGTCGATTTTTTGTGCGGCAGTATAACCAACTTAAGTGTTGAGGATTTAGACCCTCTGCTGTAGTACTTGTGTTTCCCTGACGTTGAAGGCTTAGTGGCACTTGTACATGTCACGCAAGAGGAGAAGATTGCCACCAGCTTCTACAAGGACCTTAAACCCCTTCGTTGAACCTGCAGGAGAACTGCAGCTGTCCCCCTGCCGCCAGCTTTGTGATCGTCTCCCAAGGCTCATGGAAACCCTACCCCAAGCAACTTTAAAACCCGCTCTGCCAATAATTTAGTAGGAAGACTAAAGTGACTAAAGCGGGAACCAGCACTCACTCCGTTGACGTCTTCCAACCGACGCTTGATTTCCTCAAAGCAGCAAAAAGATTTCTGACACCGTCATGCAGCAGTTAAGCCCCCGAAAGGTATCCGAAGTAAGCCATACATAGGGGCTTGTCACATCGTAGGGAAATTAAAGGGTTTCAAGGGCGGGCGAGTGCATGTGTGGATCCGTTACTTGATGACTGTTTTAAAAGTTGGGCTTCCTATAGTAAGGACTAGAGTATTTTGGAGTCTATATTGGGGTCCCCTTGTTTTGGAGTCTATACTGGGGTCACCTTATTTTGGGTAAATACCAATTCTGGAACAAACCCTAAACCCTAAACCCTTTGCTCAAATACCAATTCTGCAACGGAGGGGGGGCCTGGGAGGTGTCTGGCAGTCTTTCGCGGACCAACATGGAAATGGCGAGGAGCTCCAGCCACTTGGGCCATCTTAACTATTGGGGGTGTAGGGTTTAGGGTTTAGGGTGTGGCTGCGTTTGATGTTCGAGGAAAGGGTTTATGAGGTAGGGTACCATCTGGTCCTCTTGATAAGCTTTGAGTACAAAGAGTTACCCAGCCCTGGGGTCACTTAGATGGCTGTGTGTCGCTCCGAACAAGCAGGAAACGACCACTGTGCAGATGAAACTAGTTTACATGGGGTTTCCGTGTTCTTCTTCTTTTCTTGGGTGGGTACTGTATGGTTGAGACTTTGAGCCGAATTTCTAAATCCTAAACCGCATTTCCACAATCTGAGGGTCCACATATACAACCATTAATGAATTGGGACCCAGAATTCCTTCTATAGTATGGTATTGTGGGGCCTAATTCCCTAATAGTTGTATATATGGACCCTCTGGGGTAGGTATCTGACCTTAAAGCCCCCAATCTGAGGGCCATGGTGGAGGAGCGACGCAGCGTTTGCTGGCGAGACGTTCTGAAACTGATGTATACCCCCGGCCTTCCTGAGGCTGGGTTGCTGTTAAGGAACTTAAATTAAGTCACCATCATGGGTATGTATATATAGTAATTAATATGGTTTCCCCAATATAGTAGCTTAGGTATATATAGATATATATGCTATATAGAGTATAGAGTGATTATTATGGTGTCTCCAATATACTAACTTGAACTAAGTTCTTTTATAGCAAGCCAGGAGGCAGAGAGAAGAGGGTGGAGGCTCAGGGTTGGAGGATCCCCAAACCCTCTAGACCCTGCACAGCCTATGAACCCAACAGGCCCTATAAACTCTGCAAAACCTACAAAACCCTGTCAACCTTAGCCTGAGGTTTAAGGCAAGTTGGTCAAAGTTGCTGGTTGGATTTCTCCAAATCCGCTGCCGTCAGCATCGCACCAATTTTCTCTAAGCCATGGGTCCACCACTGACATCAAGCATGTGACAGTTGATGCAGCCTTAAGCATCTGTGGCCCAAAGCTCCCGGGGCTGCAGGAAAGCTAAGCCGAGATACACCCCCCAACACACCACAAGAGAGGCAGGAGATTGTTTTTATCTCGAAGGGTCCAAGTACCCAATAATTATAGGTACTTGGGTTTGGTGCACTAGTAATTGTAGTACAGGTTTGGGGTAGTTATATGATTAGTAGGTACTTGGACCTTTAGGGCATCTACCATCCAACATGCCCCTGTCGTCTTTCAACCTCATACAAGCCCCATACACTGCTTGCTGTTCCACCTGTACTGTAGATGCCCAAGCGCCTTGGAAGTCCTTGCGAGGGAAAGAAGCTGATCCTACGGCCCCGGCTGTTCGAGATTGTGGCAGGGCCGGAGATCCTTCTGGAGACAGACCCGCAGGAGGGTTCAGGGTTTGGGGAGTAGGGTTTAGGGTTGAGGCATGGGATTTTTGGATTCTGGGGTCAACTTTTGTTTCGGATGAAAGTGTTGGGTGTAGTTTCCCAACGTTTCCTCAGACTATAGTATCCTTTTCAGGCACGGTTCCAGTACAGTGTTGTTCTGGTTCACAGGCCATATCACTTTGAAATAATTTCAGCGCAGAGTCTTCAGATTGATTGGCTTCACTACTGTCGTATAGTGTTCCAGCTTTGCATACTCTTATTGATATGACCTTGGGTGTTGTGTCCAGCCTCAGCAGACAGAGAACCGAGAAGTATATCAACATCAGCTGCATCAGAGTAGCTGTGGTGAGTAGTGATTACGTACAGTTTTCCCAAGGTCTATGGGCGGATGACCCCCAAAGCCCCAGATTTCCTAAACCCTTATACACCCTTCACCCTGTACACCTCAACCCAAAGCTCCCCAAACCCCGCAGGCGTTGAAGTCTGAGCTCTCAATCGTTGAGTCCCTCAAGGCTTATAGATGTTGTCCCATACGTATATACCCTTTAAGTCTGCTATCCCCTCAAAAAGGCTAAGGGCCCCTACACCCTGAACCCCAGACGCACACTTCCAACCCACGAAGGTGAAGAAAGATGGAGTACTGGATGCAATTTCTTGGGCCCAAAGCTGCAATGGGACGGAGCGCGTTCACTACAAGTTCCCGGGCTCTTCTTCTTGCTTCCATAGGCAGCATTTGCAGTGCAGGAGGTTTGGGGGTTCTATCTAGGGATTTAGGCTTTCGAGAGGACCATACGTCCCTGAGGGATTCGCCTACCACTTGGAGGAACAAAGGGACTTAGTAAGTAGGTTAATAAGCCCTATAAGCCATACATTAACCCCAATGACACCCCTTATTAAACTACTTAATAAGTCCCCATGACCCTAAACCCTAAAATCTGAATAACAACTCCTTGTATGGCCCAAAGCTTGTGGGAAGTCGTCTGCGCTCAATTCGCCTTTGGAATTTTTGTTCGTTGCTGCATTGTCCGGCAGGGTTGCTTGGCGACTTGGAGCCAGGCATCTGGGTTTAGGGTAAGTAGTCTCTTTTCTGACTTCCCTCCACCTGCTTCCTGAATCATGCATGTGGCAACCCCTCTCTCAACAGGGCCTTGACAATCGAGGCTTGATGGCTACGTGCTTCGTGTCCCTTCGTCGGCTCCAAAGGCCTTCCAGATAGAGGCCGAGGGACTTTGCGGGCTATTCAGCAGTTGACTTGGGTTCAGGGTTTTGGAATCCTGCAAGGTGTTCTGGTGCATCCGTCTTGACGCACTGAAGGCTGTAATTATGCGATTCTACAAGGTAACTTCGGGTATCATCATGCATTGGGCCTGTGAGGAGGTCAGGTTTTGAGAGGTCTGCCGAAAGAACGTGTTCATGCTGGCGGAATCTTGCTTCGCTGTGCTGCGCGGTGAGCATAGCATGATCTCATCTGATGGTGTAGTTGCTTCCAAGAAAATCACTGTCCCGCATACCTTGCACTCCCTACCTGACCCCCATAACCCTGCATTCCATGAAGAGATGTCAGGTGGAGGCTGTACAGGAAGCCGTTGGGGGCCTGGTTCCCGGCGGCTGCACAGTTGATGCTGTGAAGCGCTGCCTTGCACAGCTACGACCTCTCAGTCCCTGGGCCTCCGTTAGAAGGCTGCTTTGCTGTGACTTCTGTGAAGATTGAAAGTCCTTTCATCCTGCTATCGGAGACTACTGCTCAAGGCTTGGGAGCGCTGAAAAGCTGCTTACAGAAGATCATTCGCTTCCATGCCGTGGCGGTGCAAGCCGAGGAACCCATCCCATCACCTGTGGCCGCTGCCACAGCCACTGCCCTTCTCTTCGCCAATCGCGGTGGTTTCTCCCCGGAGCTACAGCTCTTCACACGTGGCGCCACGGCCGCCTTCAAGCGACTTGCAGTGATCCTACTGGAGGATGGGTATGTGAAGGAAGGGGCCACTCCTCAGAGCCTGGTGGCACTGCTGGCCCTGGGTCTGGTTACACAGCGTGTCTCTGACTACGAGCCATCTAGGACTCTGGTAGTTGCAGCCATGCGCTTGGCAGCCCAGGCTGCAGCTTCAGGCTGTCTCATCGCTTGGCGTGGCAAGGAAAAGGCCGGGAAGGCCAAGGCGCAGGATCACATAAACGTGACGTCACAGCAGGCCACCCTGTTCCAACACGCTGCAAAGCTCCTGCGTCTGCTGCGAAGCTTCCCGGGTGATATGGCTATGTTCGATCAAGTCGCTGCCGCGAGCAAGGCGGGTAAGCTGCCTGTGCAGTACGCGGCCCGGCGCCCTGACGTCATGCCTCTGTGCCACCTGGTGGATCAGCATACCTTCCGCGGCATTGCCCATGTCCTGGGCAAGGGTGCAGAGTCAACCTTCGCGCTTCGTTTCCAGTCGCTCTTCAACAAGTGTACAGGCTTCAACCCACGTCAGGCGGATGTGGAGGGCTTTGAGTCCAGACCCGAGGTGCTGAGGGCCCGCTTCGCCCAACAGTGTTGCCTTGACGCTGCGCAGCAGAAGCCGAAGACTTTGCTTCCGCTCATCTCCGAGGGCATGTCGGTAAGCCTGGAGCTTGACCCTGGCGTCCTCTCGGCTGCTGTGGGCCCTGTACCTGCCAAGGCCCAAAGCAAGCGAGGAAGCCGGGATTTGCTGGTGATGCTGGGGGTGCGCTGTCCTGAGGATGAGGTTGTGACTGGGCCAAATCGTTGGCACTTCCCAATTTTTGGGCTGACGGTGATAAAGCAAGGTGCATGCACTCTTCATGGGAAGGACGACGACAAAAGCGGTAGCAGAACTAGTTGTTGTAGTCGTAATCGTAGTCGAGGTCTTCTTATTGTTATTGTTATCTGCTTTTTCTTCTTGCTGTTACTTGTTTTTCCTTCAAGGTAATGTTGAAGCCAGCGAGAGCTACACGCGACCTCTTCGGCGACCTTACAGATCAGGACACCTAGAGCTGCCACTAAACTTCTCCGAATCGTGCGAGGCATCCCAAGAGTTAGCTTTGGAAATAAGTTCCACGCCCTTCAAAGGGAACCGCTACAAAGAGTTGTGATTGATGGGCCTGCTAGCCTCCGTGGATGGTGTTGTGAGGATCGTCTGGTTTGAACGTATTCACGGGTTGCTCATGATTCGATACTCAGTGTACCACCCCCCTCTGTCCACACCCGAGAAGTCCAGGTACGTACAGGCTACATGCTTGGACCCCAAAGTGCGTATAAAGGAGCCTCTATGACTCTACGGGCTTCAAGTTGATAGTGTGAATGGTGCCTGGACCGCATCTTCCCTGGAGCTCTGAACTACGTACCTATATTGGGCCCAAAAGCGTATGAATCATACCTACACGGAGTTCAAAGGGTTTGGGACAAGGAGCGAGCAGAAGCCGTGGCGGCAGTGCGTCGCCAAGAGCTGCCGGTGCAGTCACAGCTGCTTCCGGGCCTGCCCCTGGGTTCATTTGGGGTTTACTATAAGGTTTAGGGTGTAGGGTATAAAGTTTAGGGTGTTTGGGGTTTGGTGTTGAGGGCTTACCTGGAGCTTCCAGAACCTGTTTTAAAGCTGGTAATTCCCAAGGAACCGGGTTTTTACGCGTTTTGTCCAAAAATCCTGGTTTCCGGACTTAAAGCCGGGTTTTCAAATTTGTTGCCCGCCTGAACCCCATTAAAGAAAAAAGGGTACGAAAACCATTTAAAAAAAACATACGAAACCCGTAAAAACCTGTCCTGGAAAAGCGGCTTTCTTCCTACCTTCCGAAAACGAGGTTTTCTTGTGGAAAACCCGGTTTTTAAGAGTTACCCACTTTAAAGCAGGTTTTGGTGGGTGTAGGTAGGGTAGAAGGATGCGATCCTCAATGATGAACAAACCGATACAAAAGAAACAGGAAGATTGAATGGAATCTGTGTATATATGTGATAGGGTCTGATAGGATGGGGAAGGATGGTGTGGATTTTGGAGGAGAGTTACCCCCGAAGTTTCCTCAGGTTCCTGATAAGGCTCCTTCAATTCGAGAGATGCCCCAAAACCCGACAAAGCCCCTGATCCCGAACCCCGAAGCTGTTCTACGTGCCAAAGACCCCCAGGCACAAGGCCAAGTTCACTGACGGCTCCTGGCACCTTGTTTAGAATGACGACGCTTGCGATTGTGATTTGGCAGTTCTTGGAGGTGCAAAGCTGACATTTCTTGACAGACCCAAAGGGTCTATATAGGTATAATATAGTATATGCTTCGAGCCCAAAGGGGCTCCCGCATGAGCTATAGTCTAAACCGCTTGAAAGGGGCTTATATAGGGGACTCTTCTAGAGGTTACAAGGGGGATACCAGGAGTTTAGACTATAGCTCACATAATTACTTTAGGGCCCAAGTATAAACTATAGGGTTACATGGACCCTTTGGAAGAGTTTTCTGCTTCATCGTCCGTGGTGAACGACGCATGATCAGAGAGAAGTGGCATGAGTATCTTCCCACCTTTTGCACCCTCATCCCTGATGCTGCTTGCAGCTACGAACAATGCTTGCCGTCCATGCCCCTACTCCTAGAGATCCAAGTATACAAACAATAGCTATGTTGGGGCCTTAAGTCTGTAAATGACCTACATCGGGCGACGTGCATCCCTCGAGTCCTAAAGTACCCTGAGCCCTAAACCCTAAACACCAACCACCAACCCCACACCCTAAGGGTTTAGGGTTTAGGGACCCTGGGAGCACTAGAACCTCCCAGAAGAGAGCTCAGGCACGTCGATGGTACACGGTGGTCGGATTTAGTCAAGGATGGTGTTCGGATCAAGGCCAAGGGGTGGGTTTAGGGCTTGGGGTTTAGGGTACCAAAATCACCAGAGCTCCTAGTACCTTTCATTGGGGTGATATTGCCCCTAATAGTGTGTACTTAGGCCGAAATAGAGGGTAGTTAGAGGGTCTTCGTAAAGAATAGAGAAACTCATCAACGTGTGGTGGGTGGAGTTCTGAGGCGTGTAGGGGGACCTCTGTTTTTTGGGTGTGTTCCATGAACCTTGTGGGCAGGGTTGAGGTTTTGGTCGGCTCGGGATTTGGGTTTCGCAAGGGTGTTGGGCCTCGCCAGCACAGGATTACGCGAAATTCTGTAGTATCAGTCTATCCGTTGTTTGTCTCATCAGAGCACTTGTGTGCAGTTTGGAACACAGCTTTGAGTACTGAGGCTGCGCACCCAAAGTAAGATTGACTCGTTTCTTGGAGATTGTTCTGCTGGCAGTAGTCTGCCTATAAGACTTTGTAGAACAGACACGCCTTTGCAACGTAAGCACAACGTCTGTCAAGACGATCATCATTGCCAGGCATCTTATACTGACATTTTCTGGTTTGCTAGCATAGCGTGATCCTCGTTTTCGCGAGCCAGCTATCGTGCGATCTACTGCGGATGACAAAGTCTTCCACTACCTTGTTATGTACCATAACACATCCTATTTTGGGTACGCTGGCAGCCGCCCAGGGTATATGCTCGGGTCATGCTACTATATTCTACTTCTACCATCGGGGCCTCACTGCGGTTTATTCTTTAAGCATTATCACCAATTTGGCTTGAATCTGTTCAGGTGCCCCTGGTAGCTGCTCCAGCTTGGTGCGAAACCTTGACGGCCACGAATGCTGAAGAGCTGCTTCACAACGACAGCGCGCTGGAGGAGGCGAGGTGCACGAGCTTAGGAGGGATCGCGAGGGCCCTGCATGGCTCTAAGGTTGAAGCCATGGGCCCCTAGTATGGGCCCTTAACCCTGGGATCCTTATATGGCTACTATATACCCTATATGTACTACTAAAAGGCCTAAGGGCCCATATTAGGGGCCCATACTTCGAACCTTCGCATGGCCTTGGTGAATGTGTCAAGAAGGTATTGGTGCTTGGTCCCGATGACAGATGAACAAACTCTTGTGAGCCGGTGGCTTTGAGTAAAAGAGGCTGGGTTTTACAGCAGGCTCTGGGCGATTTTCGCAACAAAGGCTTTAATCAGAATTGATGGATTATTTTCTGGCATTGAGGAATTCTGGCTACACGTGAGTTCCTTATATGAAGCCATGGCAGCTTGGAAGTTCATCGGCAGGGGAATGTATACCCAGGGTTCAGGGTTTAGGGTTTAGAGTACCCCCCCTCCTTGAGGGCCTTAATATCAGGCTCCCTATGATAATCCCCATTAAGGGGAGGGGGTTGATCAATTGGCGGTTTACATTGTGATCCGACTTGCGGATGTGATCCCAGAATCAGGCGCTAAGCGTATCTGGAACTGGCATGATCCCGAATGCGGAGAAGGCTGGGCTTTGGGTATAAAACCCTAAATCCTAAACCCTAGTACATGGTAGTTTCTCCCAATAAGGGTACTCCAATAGTACTCTAAGATAGACTCCGAGATGCTAGAATACTTTATATGAGGACTCCTAAAATCCTAAAATGGTACCCTAATTGTGGGAACCCCTTAAAACCTGTAAATCTTCTACATATCCCACATAGAACCCCTATATCCCCCCTCATTTTGGGAAACCCTAAACCCGATATGTCCCTACATGACCCCTATACCGCCTTTAAGGGTACCCCGACTTTGGGGAACCCCCCACCTAAACCCTGAACCCTAAACCCTAACTTACATGGACCCTTTTTGTAGCCCCACCACGGCTCTCTGAATCCATGGAGCCTATCAAGCAGGGCAGAGGACGTCAGATAAAGGGCTGGCTCAGGAAGTAGCCTGGAAGGATTTAGGGTTTGGGGTTTGGGATTTAGGATTTGAGGTTTGGGGTTTAGGATTTAGAATTGGGGGTTTGGGGTTTAGGGTTCAGGATTTGGGGTTTTGGCGTTTAGGGTTCAAGGTTTAGGGTTTGGGGCGTGGTACTTTCTCAACTGGGGGAACCCTAATGTAGACTTCAAATTCTATGCATAATCCTATCCCTAGATTGGGAAACCCCATGTCGGCCCCAGTGGCAATAAATTCACAGGCTGAAAATCTCCAAACCTTTGCCCGGCCCCACTCCATCTGCCATTGCGAACTGCTGTCAACTTGTGCTTTGCAATCCTTCTGGTTGTTGAAAATTGGTGCTCCTGCCAAATACAGACATAGATTAAATTAGATTGGACTCATGGCCGACTGGACCAGTGAACCTAGTAGTGAATGGAGGAATGGATCCCTGTAGTAGTCTGCATATAGCCTCTCATTTCATTGTAGGTCTATAGTCTATAGCCTTAGCCAATTCCGTCCCTACCTGAAGCCTACACCCTAAACAACACAGTAGTTTCCATGTGCCTTTCCATTCCCTCCTAGGCAGTAGATAGGGCCAGTAAGAGAAGGTGGTGCTTTGCCTCGCCAGCTCGCTTCCGCACGCGGTGTCTTTAAGAGCAGCCTCGCTCCTGCGACAGCAGCACCTAGGACTCCTGTTTAGGGTTTAGGGTTTAGGGTTTCCAGTTTCTTTTCCATTATCCCAATATGTCCCCAATATATCCCCTATATAACCACAGGGGGCCCCTACATGAGTGACAGTAGTAAAGGAAATCTTTCTTCCCCAGTCCTAAGGCTACAAGGCTTGGGTAATCAGCTCCCTCCCGATGTAGCAAAGAATGCTGTCATTTGATTGGGGACCATGCACGTGGATTCTGAAGGTTTTTGTGGGCGGAGATCATTAGCATCCTTGTGTTCTGAGCAATCCTCCCTAAACCCGCAAACTCTCAACCCCTTTCAAGCTTGATTCAACATCCATGTTGGCCTTACCCTACGGATCTGCTTTGATCCATCCCTAAATTCTTAAACCTAAACCTTAAACTTGGGGTTTAGGGTTCTGGGTCTAGGGTTGAAGGCTTTGAGCCCTGAAGTCTTTCGAAATGGTTTCCAGGGATCCCGATGACCTTCAACCAAATCATATGCCCTAAATCACCAGGATCTTGATAATCCTCTAGGGTAGGCTCTCGGGTAGCCAGGTATGTGAGCGTGTCGATGCCAACGCCGTCGCTTCAGGGCGGTTTGGCTGACCAGCTCGCTGCATACGATGGAGACACGCCTTTCTTTAGAGATATGGGGTTGATTGGTCCTTGTCACTTGTACGTCTACAAATGCAAACGCAGGGGAACATGTTTTCCATAGTGGCCATTGTATGTTCATGGGTTTTTATCAACTACCAAATACTATAGCGCCCTAAGTGGAGCAAGATGTTGTTCGTCTCCTTGGTTTTCGCATCATGCACCCCACTCTACCCAAGCCAAGCACAAACTGGATTGCTGTGAAGAAATTTAAGACAAGTTGCGATACTCTACTCTAAGTATACAGTAAGTCCTTAACAGCAACCCAGCAAAGCTTTCAGTCTTGGGATATTGCCATGTGCGCATGTGCAACAGGAGACTGGCTTGTGTACCGCCTGCTGGTGCTTATCTCCAGAGCCTCGACCGTCTGGCAACAGGTTAGCATCATGTCAAATGGGTATTTATCACCCTAAACCCTAAGCCCCTATTTCGAAGCCTCACATGCTGGAGCCCTGGTTCGGCTGACCTTCGCTTCCAAGCAAGCTTGCCCCCACTTCAACAACCAGCCTGAAGTAGAACAGTTTGTATGGCGCATCGAATAGTGGTATTTCAAAGTCGCTCTGCTTAGAATTGAATGATGGCAAAACCCCTTGTACTAGCTGAACCGATATAGGATCCTCTTGTCGAGATACGCTAAAAGTTCGCCTGAATTTCCTACAGCAAGACTCGCTGCGGTTGTGTGTATACTGCAATAACTGCGCCAGGAACCGTACCTGCCGCTCTTCGGCCTACGATGCCGCCAAACTTCGCTGTTGCGAATCCAGTCCTGCTAAGGGTCTTGGAAGGCCAGCGGACGTTCATGCATGTGTTGCGTTGGCATTTTGCAACAATTTTGGTCTTTTTTTGGGGGGTGCTTATGTCAACGCTGCAGCCCGGAGACTTGGGGCTGGGGTGGACTCTACGGTTTCATCTTGGCACGTCTAAGACGTTGAAAGGAATTTATGTTTCAGTGAACAGCAAAGGAGGAAGGTGAGGGTGAGAGTTTGGATGGTGGCGTGAAGGTTTGGTTGTTCTTGTGCAGCAAGTCTAGGCAAGCTCCTGATGAAGCGCATTTCCCCGATTCCAGGGCCATTGGGAGGCCATCCGTAGTTTGGTACCACACCGGGTGCGGCGTTGACACAAAGCGTTCAGCAGTTTAGCGCAGAACCATTAGCAGCAGTGCCAAAAAAGAGCATCATCCTAAACCAAAAGCCATACCCTAGGGATCCAAAAAGCCCAATGTAGGTTAAATTTCACAGGCTTCAGGCCCCAATGTAAGTATTGTTTGTGGCACTCAGATGCCTGGGGTAAACCTTTTACCCTCGCCCTCAAGCAGAAAGCCCTACAAGAACCGGGAGAAAGATTGTCGTGGCGCATCGGACTCTGACGGATCTGAAGAAAATCATTGTACACCCTGCAAGTAGGAATACCCATATCTCTTTTACACAAGTAGTGTGAAAATTGAACCTAGTTCATGAGATCCCCTCATAGTAGCAGGTTGGATGATGGATGGCGTGGAGCGGGCCATGCGAAGCCAGTCGGCACTGAACCCTGCTGCTGGAAGCTCCGCGAAGTGGGAGGGGCCCCTTGCATTCTCAGCGCTCTTAGCGTTTAAGTTTTAGGGTTTAGTGTTCAGATTTGGCTGTAGGGTATGGACCCCTAACCTTCCAGACAGCGCGAATCCCACAGGCCAAGATGAAAGCAGGACGATGAACACAACGGGCTCGCATGATCTTTCACTGACTGGTTACTCACGGATTGCAGGGGGTAGTTGTCAACATCCTCTGGGTACACTTGAGACTTGGCCGTTGTATGCTAAGGACCAAAAAGGGGAGCATAGTTGTGACCGCATACTCTTTACACCCCTATATACAATTCTATTGTAGCTTCCACTTCATGTTCAATTTTCTTGTCCATTTGATTCTCCATCATCTTTCTCTCTCTCTCTCTCTCTCTCTCTCTCTCTCTCTCGCAGATACCCCTCAAGTTTCCATTTATTTTTGCATTTGCCTTTCCGTGAGGTTTTCCATTAGTCCATTGTTGGAAACCCTAAGCCTGAAACCATGGTAACTGCCGCCCATAAAACCCCAGATAACCCCTATATAGTGTTTAGGTACATTAGATTCCTCTGATGTCGCATGGACCCATGCCTTTAAGCACTACACCACCCTAAGGCCCTGTAACCCCAAAACCCTAAACCCTAACCCCTAAACCCTGAATGCCGTAACCCCAAAAACCCTAATCCTAAAGCCCTAACCCCTAATCCCTAAACCCCTAAACCCTGAACCCCTCCACCCCAAGCCAATTCCAGGCACTCTTCCTGGGCCGCCATGTCTCGAGCCGACCAGTCGCTGCTAGAACACCAACGCGAGGCAGTCGACAGCCACTTGCTTCCTCTGTGCAACTCCGTAGGGATCCAAATAGCCCATTGTAGGTAACGGCTTAGGGTTTTAGGGTACCCTAAGGATCCAAATAGCACAATGTAGGTAACATTTACAGAGTTTAGGGCCCGGTGTAGGTATTATTTGCATACGTGGAACCCTAGGGACTGTTATTGCACTAAGCCTCTATAGGTATGTCTTTTGACTTTTGGACCCGACGTAGGTCAGATTCATGGACTTAAGGTTCCAGAGTTCGGCAGACTTGAGAATTTAGTGCTTGGGCTTTGGGGCTTTGGGCTCAATCCTTGCGATTTAGACACTCCTCTTTTCAAGTGGGGCTGATATGAACTCGGAACATCCAAAAGTGTTCAACTTCCAGTGTCCTGCTCCTGTGCTTCTGAGGGATGCATCAGCGAGATCGAGAGATGAAGTGCGGAGGACTCGTGCAAGCCATGTGTGTATCTGGGGCCATCCCCCGCTACAGCAACAGTTACCACAAGACATGAGAACTTATTGTGCCCCCTGAATAAAACCCAGCCTCCGCATTGCTCGCCTTGCGTGTGCCCGTTGTGGGTAACAGGCTTATGTACTGAGTTTGGGTTATACTGCGACAAGGGCCGGTTATGGATAATCACCTCTGAAGTTCAGAGGTGAGCCATCTTGAAGGAATTAATGACGCCAATCATGTTCTGTATCAAAGGAAGCAAGCTGAAGAGGCTGACTGAGCAGTTTGTGCGTGCGGGGTGCTGTCAGGACATTTCCTGATCATGGACACTGGCCTGGGAAAGACAGTCACTTCACTGGTCTACGCTTACAGGCCCGGGATTTGCTGCCGGTGATAACAAAATCAGTCGAGAAGCCAGCTACCGGCTCTTTTGGGTCATAATACTGCCATTACGTCCCCATCACAACATGTATATTGTACAGACATCGACTCTCACATCGCTTGCGTAATCAATCTCATTCAGGAAGATGGGGCACCCCTGAAGCCCCAAAGTCTGATTGGATTTGTTTAGCAACAGCGGGGTGCGCCTGTTTACCGCCAAACTGGAGCATCCTTCTCTGAGGACCTCCCAGATGGGATCCACGATGCTCAGGAATCCTGATCACTGTATGGTAAAGCTATGACGCATGGTGCAAGCTTGGAAGCTTCTAATCTGGGACACAACTTTGGAGCCTTAAAGGCAGCGCAACGGCGCAACCATCTAAAACTCAGCATCCGACGCCTGCCTGCGAGGTGGTTGTGCAGCACTGGCGGAGAGGCTGTGCGGCGGATCCTTTGGGTGACGCCTGCTGGCACAGCACCTTGGTTGTAGGATTCGGGAACTGATTACGAAGAAGGTTTAGAGTACAGGGTTAGGTGACCCTGATCTTCATCAAACTGCTTGGGGGGATGGGTTCTCAAAAGTGTGCAGGGCCCCAGAATGTGATCTTTTTTCTTTCAGTGCGCACGGAGAGACCGACATTTTAGAAATATTGGGTTTAGGGTGGCACATTTGTGCAATGCTAGTCCAGCTTGCAGGATTTGCCTGAAGTTCTGCTTCCGGGTATCAAGCTCTGATCCCCGTCCTCCGGCGGCTGCCGGTGGCTGACAGCACGCCTGCCCCACTGCCAGCGCCGTAGGGGTTACCTTGGGGTTGTAAGGGTGGGTAGTTGTTCGGTTTTTTTCGGTTCCTACCTTAGGTGTAGTCCCTGTCCCCGCCCGTCCTGCCCGCCTCCTCCGCGGAGTGAGGGCTCCTTCCGTCCCTGCGTCTTGGGGCCTTGCAGCCTGCCTCTGCCTTCGCTTGGGTAAGTCAAGGGCCCTCCTGGGGCTTTTGGGCCCAAGCCATTTACAGTAGGCTCCTGTTTCCTTTCTTTTGCGGCTGGGGCTCGCACGCAGTCCCTTGGCCACCTTTAGGCATTCCACCCTCTGCAAGGGCAGGGGGTTGTCCAGAAGTCTGATTCTTCGACCAAGATCCCCGTATTGCTGTTCTTTTACTCGTTGGCACTGGGGGACCATTTACCTACAAACCCCAAACTACTCTCCATAATGACTTATCATGACCTAAATATCCACGATCAGGATAGGCCCATTCAGGGCAATTTCTTAGAGGGTCTGGTAGACACAGAACGAAACTAGGCACCTTTACATAGAGCAGGTGCAACCAGCAGGTACGACGAGGTAGCCTCAAAGCCTTCAAACTCTCAACCCGCCAGAGCACTAGGCTCGAGAACCCGGCCCCCGAACACCCCTACACCCTCAAATCCCTTCTGAACCCGAAATTGAGGTAGAGAATTTGGTGAAGCAGCTGCGAAGCTGGCCTGCATGCAGTGCTTCTTAATCAGGAAAATTGGGGGTGGATTAGTTGGGGACTTGGGGTGTTGAGTTTAGGATTAGTAGGTGCTTTGGGTTTTATGGGTTTCTTGTTTGCCTCGAGAACCTGCGGGACTTCAGCGATCTGGGTGGGTCAAGCGCCTTTAAACAAGTAGCGTCACATTCAGCACGCAAAAGCGGTGCCATTTTTGCGAATGTATGATGACTCCCGCCACACAGATCCAGAATGTTGGAATGACCCCGCAGCATCCATTTCTCCAATAATGCACGTCTTACCCCCTCTCCCGAATACTGAAACACCTCCCGGGCGGGGGGGTGCTACTAGGAGGAGTTTGTAGTTCCCGCTGCCAGGGTAGTTTCCGGAACCACGACTGACATTTCCTGTTCCTGGATCTCAACAAACCCTAGACCCTAAACCCTGAAGCCCCTCTAATTCACCACTATTTCATCTCTAATTTGGCCAGTGCTAATAGTCCCCCTTTCCCCCTTAAGTAGATAGAATATGGCTTTGGGTATAGTAGAATAAGATCCCATATACACCATATTCTATCTACATAAGGGGGACTACAACTAGTCTTGCTTTCTCAAACCTCGGCTTCCAGGATTGTGCATTCTGGGAGGAGGTTTCATTATTAGGGGGCTTTGTCAATAGGAGAAGGCACTAATGCCTTGTGCAATCAAGTTTTTAAAGCTCCAGGACTCCAGGAAGGACCCAAACACCGGCATGAACACATGAAAATCGTGCATCATGTAGTTACCGCCTATAACCCTGTTTAGAACCATATATTTGACCCCTATGCACCCCAATATACCCCCCATATACCCCTATAGAACCCCTATAACCCCTTATAGACCCCTGTTATATAGCCCCGTCGTAACTGTTTAGGCCAGACTTGGCACTGCCCTACCCACGTCGTTCCGAGAATCTCCGCAGCGAAGAAGCCGAAGGCGAGTGGACGGCGCGCTATAAATTAGGGTTTAGGGTTTCGGGTTTGGGCGCTCCGAATCAGGGCTTAGAGTGTTAGTGACCGGTCATACTGTAGTATATGTACCGTAGTCTAAACTCCCTAAGTGAGGGGTTTATATAGGGAATTCTATAGGGGAGTGTTGTAGGGGTTCGTACAGAAGATATTAGGAGTTTGTGTAGACTATAGCACTCATGGCGGGTCTCCAAATCAGGGCTTTCAGGGCTAATGTTCGCGGTTCGGGGTTTAGGTTGCAAGAATGTAGACCCATGATTAATAAACCCCCTCCTTTTAAGGGCCTTGATATTAGGATCCTTATTATCATCCCTATTAAGGGGAGGGGGTTTATTAATCATGGGTAGGGGTTAGGGGTTTCCAAAAATCAGCATCCCCTTTTTGAGGGTCCTTGAGATGAGTGTTTTTTTGGCGGTGGGGTATAGGGGAGAGCATTTTTTTGGTTGCAACTTTAAACCCTAAACCCTAATCCCAGCCTGTAGAACCTTTGAATGTCAAGCCTGTTTTTCTTCCCAGCATGAAGGATCCTGCTTCCAAAAATGTAGTTGCCGAAAAACCTTCTAAAAGCATCCTGCCAAGTAATTCTTTCCTGCCCTGTTCATCACCCTACACTCTAAACCTTAAAGTACAAGCCCCGCAACAGCTTCCATCTTCTTTGCCACTCCTTCATTCCCTACTAACCACCCGCAAAGAATTCTAAATCCTGAACCCCACCTGATATTATTTTCCATGTTCTTCTCCAATCCTTCACTCCATACTCAATAGGAAAAGTCTCACCCCTGGCCCAAACACTACAGTGGCTTCCATTTGTTTGTTCAATCCTCGTTTCCCACTAGCCAGCAGTAAGTGGGAGTTCCAGACAACCCCTATATAATCCCCCAGGACGACAGCCGCAATGCCCTGATCATCCACATCTCTTACTCTCTCCCTCTCTGTCTTTTTTGTCTCCCTCTCTCTCTCTCTCTCTATCTCTCTCTCTTTCTCTGTCTCTCTTTCTCTGTCTCTCTCTCTCTGCCTCTCTCTCTCTGTCCCTCTCTCTCTCTCCGTCCGGAGCCCGCCACCCCCCACCCCACCCGCGCACTTCCGTTTGAATCCTGAACAATTGGAAGCTGCCAGCCCCAGGCGGGGGAAGGCTTCGACCTGGTGCTGAAGGACTTCATGGTGACCCCTGGGCATCATAATGATCATCATTGTACTTACAGTCATCAGGCAGAAGCAAGTCTGCCAATGATGATGAAGAGGAGATGAAGACGATGATGGTGGTGATGATGACGATGTTGATGCGGATGTTTGTAGTTGTGATATATTGCTATGTAGCATCATGGTTACATGACGTGTAAACACATATATGTATACATAGACTGGTAGCACACCTTTTGTTATTGGAATGATCGCCATGGACACGTTCCTTGTTCTGCATGATGCTGAACTGATGAGCTGCAATGTAATTCAAGAACATGTTGTTCTCATATGGTTATCCTCTCAATGGCTTTTTAGTTTTCCTTGGTGTTATGCCAACGTCGAGGTTTGTTTGTGAGCTGGGGTCTCATGGTGTTTCTCTGATACATTTTGAAATTTGGTATATTACCAAAGTCCCAACCACCGGGAGTGGGGGAGTGATTTTTTTTAAGAATTCTGAGTTGTAGGGGCATTTTGGGAATATTAGACGGATCCTCCTCTCATTTAAGCGCCAGTAAGATGAAGCAAGGAACGTGATCCATGCAGACCACCTCAGAACTGCCATCGACAAGGGCCTGGCTGAACAGGCCCCATTTGATTTCCGGGATTCTGCGAAGACATCCTAAGTAGGTGGTTGTCAAAATTATGGTCCCTCTTTGGGTACCCTAAATATTAGGTGCCGTATTATCACAGGGACACCACCTAAATGGAGACCTACGTCACCTCCTTAGAATTGCAGTACATCCCTGGGGTCCTAAGATTAGGTTACCCACATTTGAGAACCCACTCTCGCTTGTCCAGGGCTGCTTTGCTTGCACGTGCTTGCAATGTAGTTCCTAGAACATGCCAATTATCCTGGGGAAACGGAATACTTAAGAGATCTAACTCGGGCTTGAGGTTGCATATTAGATTCGGGATTCAGGGTTCAAGTATGCATTGGGGGATATGGTTGAGTGTATGGGAATTTGCTAGAGCTTCAGGGTTTTGCTTCAATTTCAGGCTTTCCGGGCTAAGGACGACTATGTGAGGGCTACATGTTCGCTAGTTGTTTACGCGGCTCGCAGGCTAAAGCAAGCCTTCCAAAGCGCTGGACAACTGCTGGATTTAAGCATTGCGCTAAGGCCAAGTCAGACTAGACGTTTCTCTAGATGCATTCACGGAGCGGTTTGCCCTGGTCACTTTGTGTGATCTCTTTGTGCCGAGTTCTAGTTGCCATCATGACGGCTTGTCAATGTGAGGCACTCGACCACTGCTCTAATTACTCCCTACACTCTGTACCAAGCAGGCCACGTCATCCTTCATCATCTTTGACGAGGTGGACGAGATGTACGCGCCAACGCTACGCACATCCGCGGCCCGCCGTCTATGCCAATTATGTGCCTCGTCTGCACTGCGCAAAATCCAGCCAATACCGATGCCCCGACAGCAGACCATCGAATCAGCACTTACCAGGTCCAGAAAGCGCCTGCCACAAGCCTCTTTACATTGACATGGAATTGAGAGTTTGTTTGTCAACGATCTATTTTTCTCTCCCAAAAACAGCACGGACCTAGAAAGGATCCATCTTTGAATTGCGCAACAAGGCTGCCAAACCACGAAATGCATACTTGGGATGCTGAGCCCCTAACAAAACCAACATAATCTAATCTGGCCTTAGGGATCCAAGTATACAAACAGCACCTACATTGGGCCCTATGTTCAGCCCGCAAGAACCATAGTCCCCCTTAAGTAGATAGAATACGGGGTATACAGGGATCTCATTAGAATATGCCCAAAGCCATATTCTATCTACTTAAGGGGACTATATAGTACAGGGTCTTCAAAGGCCACCCCTTTTTTCGAATGAGTTGAGGCCCGAAGTTCGTGGCGCAGACGGCAACCCCCATGCGAAAGAACGAGTCGCAGCTGTTGGCTTGGCTCGCAGATACTTGCTTAGGAGTTTAGGGTTTAGGGAGTTTCCCAAAATGAGTAGGGGGATATAGGGGTTATATAGGGGTATATAGAGGGTTTAGGGGTATTAGGAGTTTGAGGAGTTAAGGGTTTGCGGTTTTGAGTAAATATTCCTGAGGGCTTGGGCTTCATAAAAGGTTACGGGGTTTTACGGCGGCAAGTTTAGTACTCTAACGCTAGGGGTTGATGGGCTTGGGATTCTTGCTGATTCAAGGGTGTACTTCCTGCTTGCCTAATTGGGCTTCCTGCGCGCGTGGGTTTAGAAGAAATTCCGGAAATGATTGCTTCAAAGCCGCAAGAGCCCCTTAAGTCTAATTTCAGTGGATGTAAGTTGAATCTCTACCGAGCTGCACCTCCCTGTCGGGTCATTTCCAAAGAAGTAGTCAGGTATGAAACCCTAAATCCTAAATCCTAAACCCTCACGAAAGATCTTTGGTTTCTTTCATGGCTTTCACACAATGACTACGCAGTGACAGTCTTCGCGGTGCTGTGATAAGGGATGAGGGCGTGGTGAACAAGACTGTATAATGTCCGCTTTAGCAGCCTTAGTTCCTCAGTTTTATGTCAAATTAAAGTTAATAAGCTACTATAGTATATTGGAGTTATAAGGAGGTAATGGAAAAGATAATGGAAACTAGTGTTTATTTTGATAAACCAGGGCAGTCAACCTACGCTGTGTCAACTTGGGCCCGAATGTCCTGTTTGTTTTGAGATTGAAGAGGTGATGCGTGTGTGACAGCTCTTTCTTTGAAGCGCTCTGTTGCTGCAAGACTTGCAAATTGATTTCTTTATAGTTACGGATAAGGTCCAGTAAGGTAGCTACACTTTGAACGCATGCGAGGCTGTCTATCTACTAAAACCTGAGGATCCAAATAGCCCAAAGTAGGTAGAACTTGAAGACCTTACTTGCGGCCCAAAGTATCCATAAACTTAGGTCCCTGGGCAACCATTGAGTCATTCATATTCCAGCCCGTCCCTCGAGCTAACCCTATAGTCCCCCTTAAGTAGATAGAATATGGGGTATATGGAATCTTACTCTAGTATACCCAAAGCCATATTCTATCTACTTGAGGGGGACTATAAACCTAGATCCGAAACCCTAAACCCTTAAGCCCAAAGCCCTTGTCTAAGGACACCTGCTCCTTTCCCGTTGACACGAAGAACTGGCTGGTTGCAGCTTCTGGTATGGTCTCTATGCAGCTGGAACTAGGTGCGATTCTTGAAAAACAAAGATGCCAATAAGCACGATGTAGGGGAATGGAAAATAAGAAAATGGAAGCTACTATGTTAGTTAGGGTCTAGGGTTTAGGGCATACATAGGGGAATGGAAAAATAAAATGGAAACTAATTACTATGTTATTTAGGGTTGAGAGTTTAGGGTTTACATAGGGAAATTGAAAGGGAAACTAGTATGCTGGTTCTAGAGGAATGTATGACACCAAGAAGCAACTGAGATCCAAATGGACAACCAAGACTGACCCTAAACCCTAGCTGAGCGCTACGCAGACCTCGCCCCCGCTTACCCTGTCGATTGATCTATCTCCGCTTTGGCGGGGGCCACGAAGAATAAGGCCAAAAATGCTGGTTTGAACACCCTTTTATCATCAGTTAACATCTAAGTACAAGCAATACCCCTTAAACGATGATATTGTCCGAGAACAGTTTTTTCTCGGGAAAGTGACGGTCCCCTGAGGATCCAGTGTACAATACTGATTATATCTTTGAGCTCCTCGTAATAGTGAGCGTTTTTTGGCATTTTGGGAGTGTATATATGTATACATACATATATATATATATATCTACATGCTCCCCCCCGCCCCAGTAACTGCTTCCCCCACCCCCCACGTACCTACCCTTTTGTGGCCTTCATAAGTTCATAAGGGCCAATCCAAACTATTCTGTTACAAAACCACTTGTTGAATATTCAGATTGAAAGGAAGTCGTAAGTCCTGAGCTCTTGTTTTCTTTTTTTTACTAAGCCTTTAAAAAATGTGCTTCAAGTTTAGAAAAGAGTTTTCAGTTCCCAGGTTCTTGTTGACCCCTAGCTACATATGTTGCAAATTCTGAGCAGACATTCTGAAATCCTGGGCTCCTGTTCGCCTTTTTGCTATGCATAAATCCCATATTAATTGTATTTCTATTCAAAAGAGTTTTCTCAAGTCTTGGGTCTTCATTTCTCCACACAAATCCTGTGTAAACGTGTTTCAAACTTCAGCAGGAATATATGAGCTCACATTATGTATATATATATATATATGCAGATTCATAGTTGCATACTTTGAGCCCTTAGGCTCCTATGTAGCTCCTTTCTGGGGGTCAGTTTGGGTAAGAGACTACAGTAGACTAACCAAAAAGGAATTACATCGGAGACTTTTGGAGGCGTCCCTGAAGATGAGTTGAAGTTTTGGGACGCATGGATGCTGTATCTGAATGACTGAATACTTCTGCGGGGTAGAGGGAATAAGGGAATACATCATATAGGGTCTTAGGGCTATAGTTGGATTCAAACAACAGTTAATTTGGTCCCTAAACCCTAAACCGTGAATTAATGAGTGCTTTATAAGTAGCAAACCCCTCCTGTCTGCACGACCGCAGGCATCGCTGCAGTTGAGGAAGACATTCTGGTGCCAATGGTAGACGAGGCATCCGCCTTCTTCTGGGTTGCTGCTAAGGAACTTAAATTAAGTTTAGGGTTTAGGGTTTAGGGTATATTATCCCCCTATAATGGAGAATCAAATGGAAAAGAAAATGGAAAATGAAATGGAAACTGGAGGAATATAGGGATTTAAGGAACTTAAATTAAGTTA